ATAAATTACGGCAGTAGTTCGGGTACTTGTAACATTAATAATATAAATACATACACACTTGATTTACTTTTTATTTTCAAGCGTAATGGTTGTTATATTAACCTATACCTACATTTTTATTAATATTATGGAAAATTTGTACACGTGTGGTAAATCCCCGACAAACAGCCGCCTGACGCCTCTCTACCAATGGGATCACCCATTTTTTTTAACAGAAAAATGGGTTACTGATGAATTCTCAAGATAATTCATTGCTTACAAGTTGACAGCCAGTAAAACATTGCATTGATCTAAAACTTTTACGTTTTAAGGAACCATTTTGATTAAGTCAGCCATACGACGCAAATATACAATTATATTTTAAAAGGCACCGATTTTAATAATTGTCAAAGATTTTTGTTCCAAATAAATCGTCGTTTATCTGACAAAGAGGCGTAACTAAAAAAAAATCGTTTTTGAGTTATACCAGAATGATCACCAAAATCGACTTTATAATCTCACAAACTGGCGTAGCTCTATAATAAATAGGTACAAATAAAGTTTTAGCATAAATCAGTTTCGGCGTAACTAATATTTTTGCATTTTGTGTGCCGTACAAACTGGCGTAATTCAATTCACACCGTTTTGTTTAAAAATGAGATACGCCTCTTTGTCAGATAAACGACGAAATGTTTCTCTTTATTTACCTTTTCGTTTTATTCACTACCACCAATAGGTTTTACTCAAATAATAGTGTTAATTTACACTAGAAGTTTGCACTAAAAGAGTAAAAGTACCTTTCTAAAATTAAAACTTTTCCAAAGTAGTGTTTATTTACACTGAACAAAAGTGGGATTTTACCAAGGAAGTGTAGAAGTAAACGATTTTAGATAAATTAATACTTTTTAATACAGTGTAAAATTACTTTATCCTCAGTGCTATAGTGTTAAATCATACTTGCTTACTTGGGGAAAATTACAGTACAAATTAACTCTAATTGTAGTTATAAAACAACACTATTTAGTGTGGACCTGTGTGTACTCTAATTAGTGTTGCTTAGAGTTGATTTTTTTTACTGTGTAGTGTAGTTGTTTTCGAGCAAAATGTCAAAAACCTTACACGCGAGTGCTAACGCATATCAGGCAAACACAATACTTTAAACGGAATATAAAGGAATAAGTAAAACATTTATATACCTTAATTAAAAAGGTATAGCTTAATAGTATATTATGTATCAAGTTTGATAAACGCCATTTTATATAAGAATTTAATTTAGGCACGAGTGACCTTGCGAGCGAGTGCTTAAGTTAATGAGTGTATAGAAAAGTTTATAAACGAGGTGGTATACTTTTTCTACGACAAATACTTGAATACTTGAAATTGACAGTTTTTCACAGTGAAAGTAAGGGAAATGTTTTATGAGGACTTTACAGTAGAGTCCGTGCCCGAATTTAAGTTATAGTTTACGGCGAAATTAAAAATAAAATAATTTTTACATCTAATATTATTTTACAAGAAAGGTACTATATTTTAGCGATTGTTTGACATTTGACAACTGTCAACTAACTTAAAACTAACTTCAGCCCGTGACTAAAAACCTGCTGCTAACTTCAGCCCGTGACTAAAGCGCCATAGAGCCACAACTTGTCAATGTGTATTTAAAAGGTCACTTAAAGGGCGGTTTAAAGGTGGGAGTAGAAAAAAATATTTATTTATTATATTTAACGCCGTCTTTTTCATAATTGCATGGTTTAAAATGTACAGTTTGTAACTTCATGCAGTTCAAAACATTAAAAAAACATCAAAGGAAAATAGCTTACTTTCCTGTTTCATAACTCTTCCGTTTATGCAGAATTTTATTTTTTTTATTACTTTTAAATTTTAGAGGCGTTGTGGCAGTTCAAAAGATAAAGATATCAAAAAAATATTATGTAAAAAATTTTAGAAATTACATGTAAAATAAATTGTTAAAATGTATGGTTCGACTCGCAATTAAATTCTGAACAAATTTTTTTTCTGTTGCCTGAAGTATGTAAATGGCTTTTTCTTGACTTCAAGTCCATTTTTTGTTCGTTTTTTTCGTCCAAGGTGTTAAATATTGACGTTAGTGCACCATTTTCGAAACGTAAGATGTTTCGTTAATTTGATAAATTTTATTACAAATTTTATTTATGCATATACAAAAGTTATATTTTAAATTATATGAAGTATATTTATATTGACGGATATTGGTGGTTTAATGGATTAATTAATATTGGATGATTGCTGTTAAATATTTAGGAATTTGAATTAAATTTAAATTAAATTAATAAATATTAACCATCAATTTTACAGAAAAAATGTTATTACGATATTACGTTTAACAAATTTAATTTTTTTGTAATTTTTATATTTTATTTAAAATTATTGATTTTTGTCTGTAACTAATAGTGGTTTTTCTTGTAAAATATTCATAGGCATTTATAGTAATTTTCTCGTACACCATCATAAAATCTGACATCTTTCAGACCGTTCTAACCTTAAAAGTAGTGCTTTATTTACGATTTTAAGATTTAATTAGGCACGAGCAAGCTTGCGTGAGTGTTTAATTAAATGAGAGTTTGGATAATATACTTTTTGTACGAAAATACTTTATTTCCACCTTTTTAGTAAATGACATTTTATAGGTTAATTTTGTTGTTTTTGTATCCAAGTAAACGATACTTTATGGGAAAAGACCTGTAATCTTTTACGGGCTTGTATAAAAGACCTGTAAAGTTTTACAGGCTTGTAAAAAAGCAATTTATGAAATGAAATGTCAGATTTAACACATAAATAAAACTTTAAATTTAAAAATTGTTATCTAAAGGTGAAAATAAAAGTTTGTACGTGTCAGGCTTTGCAATTAATCTTTACTAGGCTCAATTCCAGCTCGCCTGTAAAGATTCATTTACAAAGCTTGACACGTAAATAACTATAATATTATCTAAAAATGATTTAAATTAAATATTAAATATAGAGCGATTACTACCTATTGTTTTTAATTGTATATAAATGACCTTAGCAATGTACGTTACTGATTTAACGCCTAAATATATACTGCTAGAAAGATTTCCGAAACTCCCATAAAAATTATTATTTGATGTCCTGAATCCTTGTACTTCGGGATTTCGTTTTAAATTTTATCATGTGACCCAGTAATATAAACTAGACTGAAACTGCAATGGTAATATTTTCAAGTACTTATTATTACTTTGAACTTTCGACATTTATTATTATTTTATTCAAATTTTCCCACACTATGTTTCATGAAACGGAGCAACGAACTCATATTTTAAAATTTTATAGGTGAATAAATAAAAAAGAATAAAATTTAATAAAATTTGCATAAATAAATTTATTTTTATCGAATATAAAATATATCCTCTAAAATAAAAGGTAAATTGACATTTTCACTGACCGATAGTAAAACAAATTTATAAATTTTTTAAATATGGCAAATTTTATTTATTTAAATAATAGTTAAACCATACATTTTATTTTTATTCAATTATCACGATTACGAATTTTTGGTACAAAAGTAATTTTTTATACTCTCACCTTTAAAACGCCCTTTATTGTACATCTTTCCATGACACTAAGTGACCTTTTAAATACACATTGACAAGTTGTGGCCTTATGGCGCTTTAGTCACGGGTTGAAGTTAGCAACAGGTTTTTAGTCACGGGCTGAAGTTAGTTGACAGTTGTCAAATGTCATACATGTTAAAATAAAGTGCCTTTCTTGTAAAATAATACTAAATGTGAAAATTATTTGAAAACTTTATATGAACATTGTACTGACCTTTTAATTTCGCCGGCAGTAAACTATAACTTAAATTCGGGCACGGACTCCACTGTAAAGTCCTCATAAAATATTTTCTTTACTTTCACTGTGAAAAACTGTCAATTTTCAAAAAATACATTTCGAATTATAACCTTTATAATCTGTGTTTATAAAATTTAAAAATGTGACATTTGACGGTGACACACAGATTCCCCTATTGTTTCATAGATGGCGCGCTATACAAATTTTTTATTTAAATCATTTTAAGATAATAATAAGTATTTGTCGTAGAAAAAGTAAAGTATGCACCTCGTTTATAAACTTTTCTATACACTCATTAATTTAATTTAAATTAAATTGGCATTTATCAAACTTGATACATAATATACTATTAATAAAACTAGCTAATTGAAGTAACGTTTATAAAATATGTAAAGGTTAAAATAAAGTTAAACAAAAATAAAACGCCTTTTATACATTTTAATAAATATACCAAGTATGTTTATAACAATATTATAATCTGCGTTGTTTTAATATTTTAATTACAAATTTGCTAATTTCAAAGTTGTAATGCTGAATTAATATAGCTTCAGGCTGTTAAAAGCATTATTGAAATTAAACCGTTAACTTTAATTAATTAAAATTTCTTTTAATTATATTTTGTATCATAAAATATAGTTTAAATCCTTCATAAATTAAATTTTGTAAACGACAGCCAAAATATTTTCCTAAGTGGTTAAATGTGTGTCAACTTTTAGGATCTATAAAAAAGTTATATGAGTTGCACGTTTAATGAGCTGTATTTTCGTTAGAAAGCATCAACGTCGTATCCGATCCGTTATGAAAAGATGGAATTACCACATTTTAAGTGATATCCGAGTTTCTCTTAAGAAAACTCACTAAGCGTCACTTAAGGGATCATAAAATTTGCAACAGCTGACATGCTTTCCAGCTAAAAAGTAACTTTTTTATTGAAATTTTATACAATTAGGAGGTAGGCGTTATGTAAAAAGTTTTTAAAATAAACTGTTTAAAAATATATCCAGGTTATAGTAGCAATAATTTACCATTCGATGGTTATGTATATTTTATTTTTTCAGTATGGGTAAATAACAAAGTTTGCATTATTTAAATTTTAATAAAAAACCGGTCATGGTAAATTTAATATCTATATTTTGTTATGTCTATGGTATACTGTACTATGCATTATAAGTAAAGTGGAAATCAGTGTAATGTAATCCACTAGACTTGTTGACTCATTGTTATAAATTTGATACAATTTACAAGGTATACAATTTATATATTTTAATAATAATGTTGCATGTCGTTGGTTAAGGGTCCATTAAATTTAATCATTGTTATTAAAATAAACTTTATTTAAAACCTAATTTGGGTCGTTATTGTTTCGTAAAGTTTCGTTTAATGTATAAAGTAATATTTATTTAAGTTGTAATATATTTTTTTACTACAAACACTTTAAATAAATAACAAATATATTTTGGTTAGAGGTCTTTGACCTTTTAGTAGGTAGGTATTTATTTAATCAGAATGTATTGTTTGCAATAATATTTTTAATTTTAAGTCCATTATATAATTTTATTTATTACCATTAATGATAATAATTATGCCTATTATTAAATATATTGTTATTGTTTTCTTTTGTAACCAATTAAAAAAGTTAGGTTGTGGATGCGTTTGAAGGTTAAGTCACTTTGATTAAGATCATAGACATTACAAGCATAGAAAGCGCTAGGTAAAAAAATAAACACAAATTTAACTTTATACATTAAAAATAATACCAGCTTATCTAATCAATTGAGTCATTGTTTATGTGTACTTTCTTATCTCCGGAAAGATTGTGTGATTTTTATACATTTTGTTGAAAATATTTACCATTCATTTTTTATTAACCTGCGTTTTTTAGATACTTCAATATGTCGCAGATTTGCTGTGGAAAATTTAAACATGAGAAAAATGAAAATCTCGACGACTATTTTAAGGCTTTGGGTGAGTAATTTTAAAAATATTAATTTTTTTATTGAATTTAATTATTTTTAAGGGGTTCCATACCTTATAAGAAAAATGATTTGTTCCACCAGCCCACAATTGGAAATAACAAGTGATGAACAAGGAAATTGGACCGTATCTCAAATCACAATGCTAAAAACCACCGTTGCCAAATTTAAATTGGGCGAGGTATTTGAAGAAAACATGCCTGGAGGATTATTAAAGGTAAATTCAAATTAGTTTTTACCCTTCAAAAAAAAATAAACACTTTGTATTTTTAGAGTAATGCCGTTTTGGAAGATAACAAACTAATAATAAGCTCGACGGGGCCAAATCAGGAAAAAGTAACAAGAACTTACGAGTTTTCCGAAAGTCACTGTATCCTGGTAAGTTTAGATTGTAAAGTTACTGTAGCAAACTTTCTTTAACTATTGTCTGCATTTTTAGACCCTCAAAGAATTAAAAAGTGGGATTGAAGCCAAAAGGCATTTTAAGAGAAGCCAATAAACTATTTATTTAAGTTTTATGTTATTGACTATAATATATCTAAATATTGTATTATGTACACTTCCTTTGACTAAATAAAGTAAACTGCTCGTCATAAAAATCGACGCACCTAGTTTATTGAAAAATATTTGAAAGCTCGTTATTGAAAAATTACTGAATCGATTTTAAAAATCTTTGGAAATTCTGAATAGATAATTCTTTGACTCTTATGTCTAATTTTGGGAATACGATATTTTGCACATAACATTATACTACAGGGTGTTAAACGAAAGGATGTATTTTTTCCGAAATTTCAAGTTATTCCCATTCATGAGGCAGTTGAGTTTGTACTCCTCCCTAATATAAGTAAGGTAATCCCTCGGAACGTTTTCGAGATTTTGTGAATATCGCGACTTATTACGATTATATGCCAATTTATCGAAAATTGTCGTTATTTCCCAGTTTAGTCCAAAAAATGAGCAATAGTGGATTCTTTGACTTCCTTCTAATTTTGAGAATATGATATTGTACAAATAGCCTTATTCTACAGGGTGTTAAAAAAGTAATGTTTTTTCCCAAAATTTCAAATCCCTATTCACAGGGCAGTTGAGCTTGATAGTCGTAATACCCCTTCCTAATAACAGTTAGGTTACTCCTCAGAACGTTTTCCAGATGTTGTGGATATCTTTTTAACACCCTGTAGTATCATGCTATGTGCATAATATTGTATTTCCAAAATTAGACATGTGTAAAAAAATCAACTCTTGCTGATTTTTTGGACTAAAATGAAGAATAACGTGAATTTTCGAAAAATTGCTGTAAAATCGTGGTTAACCAAGATATCCATAAAATCTCGAAAATGTCCCGAGGGATTACCTAACTGTTATTAGGGAGGATTATTAGGACTATCAAGCTCAACTGCCCCGTGAATGGGGGTTTGGAATTTTGGAAAAAAACATCTATTTTTTTAATACCCTGTAGTATAATGCTATGTGCATGTGTCGTATTCCCAAAATTAGACGTAAGTCAAAGAATCCACTATTGCTCATTTTTTTGGACTAAACTGGGAAATAACGACAATTTTCGATAAATTGACATATAATATCGTAAGCCGCGATATTCACAAAATCTCGAAAGCGTTTCGAGGGATTACCTTACTAATATGTATTAGGGACGGGTATTACGACTATCAAACTCAACTGCCTCATGAATGGGAATAACTTGAAATTTCGGAAAAAATACATCTCTTCGTTTAACACCCTGTAGTATAATGCTATGGGCAAAATATCGTATTCCCAAAATTAGACATAAGAGACAAAGAATCAGCTATTCAGAATTTCCAAAGATTTTTAAAATCGATTCATTAATGTTCTAATAACGAGCTTTCAAATATTTTCCAAATAACTAGGTGCGTCGATTTTTATGACGAGCAGTTTATTTGAAATAATTTTTATTCCACCAACCAAATTCTAACTTTAAATGATTAAAACTTCTTTTATGTTTTTTTTTTGCATCTTTCAAAGCAATTATATTGGATGCCTTATACCTGTTTTTCAAACTTTTTCCATAGAGCAAGTTACCGACAGGCTCGAAGAACAAAACCTGAATGTAAAAGCAGTAAAAGTTTAACTGTCAACGAAATAGGTTATGTTCATTTTTATAGAAAGAGGGCATATTTTGTTACCTTAAAGAACAAAGATGGATATCTGTACCTCCGTCTCACTAACTCCTAATAATGTAGAAGCAAAACTGGAAAGGGGATTCATTTCGGACGGCCCTTTGAAGTGTAAGCTGTGAAGGATTAGTGTTAAGCAAGGTTGGTACGCGTGTGTGTCAGTAGGTGGTCTGGTTTGACAATGAGCTGGCGGCTTATATCGGCACAAAGCAATATGGCGCCGAGTCGCAGCGTAAATACGCCAGGTAATGATAATTTGGTACTAATGAAATTAGGCGTAACAGACAAGGACGGTTCCGTGCGAACACGGAAATTAATTGTGCCCGAACGAGGCGGTGAATATAATCCTGGCCGGCGCTGCTCGTATACCTCTTTGCACTATCTCTAAATTACATGACACTATTTGCGGCTAAGCCATTTCACAGACAATAGCGCCCACAGCGAAAATGACCTTTTGTTGCAACTTTTCAATGCGAGAACTTTGACCGTTACTCTTGAAGCTGGCAGCTAGTACGGCATATACTTATACAGGGCCACCCTTTATAACTTTTTCCATAAAAAATTGTTTTAAGTTTTCTAAAACTCTTCTCAAAGTTTTTGAAACGTTTCAGGAGTTATCTGCCTATATTCTTGAAATATTCTTGAATGTTCTCAGGTGGTCTTTTGTAGACCTGTGTTTTTAAATACAAAGTGACTAGAAGTACACTGTACCGCCATTAAACGTACAACGGGTGGAAAAAAATCCTTATTTAGCATATTTGTCAATTGTATAATATTAAATGGTCGCTCAATGGGGCGGGGGGCCCAATGGTGCGGGGTCGGTTGGGTTGGGTTGTTGAGTTTGGGTTGGTTTGGGTAATTCATACTGACATTTCATTAATTTTGTTGTTAATTATATTTTAATCACTTAATTAAATTTTAATCAATGTTTATACAACTTGAAAGTTAGCTTAATAATTACATAATTAATATCAAGAGTTAACCAGCTGTTTACCAACTGTTATACAACTGGGCCTTTGTGTACCAATTTAATCTCAACCACAGATAATGATCTCAACTAATAAATCCGAAATTTAACCATCAGCTGGTATGAAAACACGCATGCGCACAAACCTGATGTTCGTTTAATGCCCGTACTCCCGGTGTACTTTTAGTCACGGCGTTTTGAATAACCCCAAAGAAAAAAATTGAGTGGCGTTAAATCTGGAGATCTTGCCGGCCAATCTTCTACCAATCCTTTTATCGGGAAACCTTTGGTTCAGCCTGACTGGTAAAGCATAGTGAGGATAAAATATTTACTATTAGATTTCCTAAATTTAAATATGTACGAGGTGTGTTTAGAAAATATAGGGGATTTTTGTTTTTTGAAACAAATATTTATTTATTCGTCTACATCTAATGTTGTCGCCTTCAAAATAGTTCCCATTGGATTTTATGCACATGTGCCAGCTCTTTTTCCAATACTCGAAACACTTCTAAAACTCGATCTTTGGGATAGCCTTTAGTTCTTTTAGCGATGCGCTTTTAATGTCATCTATGCTTGCAAAACGACGGCCCTTTAAGGTTCTCTTTATTTTTGGGAATAGGAAAAAGTCAGACAGAGGCATGTCTGGCGAATATGGAGGTTGGGGCATCATTACAGTATTGTTTTTGGCCTAAAATTTTGTTCAAAATTTAACAATTTTGAAAAAAATTTTGCCGCCACGCGTTTTATACCCAAAACATCGATATACCAGTAGTTTCAGAGTTATAGCGCTGGAAATATAAACTTTTATAAAAATAGACCTCAAATTCCATTTTATTTTTCTTCGAGCAAAGGGATGATTTTGTAGAGAATTTAATTTCCTACAAAAGCTATAAAAAAGTTTTTAGGGAAAAAAGTTTTTAACAGCGAAAAATCTAATTAAAACCAACAAAAAAAATTTTCTGTGTTATTTCAATGGGAAATTGAATTTTTAAATGAGCTAAGCCGCTATTGCACTTAGAACCTTTTACCCGGCGGCATAATTTTTTATTTTCTATAAAGTATTAGATTTTCTGGTATAACAGCGAAAAAAAAAATATCGCCTAAAAATGACACACCCTAATAATGACATTAAATAAACAAGTTCTGCGCAAGCAGAATTTAAATTGAAGTTTGCGAAAAAAAGATAACAGAAACATCGAACATGGAACAGACGACACGGTACTGATGAATGGGATACAAATTTGAGATTGTTATTCGGAATTAAATATTTTACTAATATTTTTTATTAGTGGATGCTACTTATCAATAAATCACATATAGCCTTATACAAATTACAATGAAATATATATACGTAAGAAAATAACTACTCACCACAGTACTGACATTTTGACTGGAACTATACGTGCATTTAAACAACTTCGCCGCTTGCATTGTTTTCAAGATGGGTGTTTTTCCAACACTTGAGTTAAAACGAGGACTTGACGTTTAAACTTCAATATTTCGCAGGAATTTTGAATTTTAACATTGGACTGACGTTTAAAAGTGAGTACATGTACTTTGCAAAGATTATCAATTTTTAAAAAATTGCTATTATTCGAATCTATGATAAAATATGAAAAATACATTATTTAATGTTTTATAATTTGTAGTGAAATTGAAAAATTTAAAATAAATTGAATATATTTTAAAATAAAATCACTCAAATATTTGATTTCGCCTTTAGTTAAACAAATTTAACAATAAAGCTATTTATTATTATTATTAGATTTCCTAAATTTAAATATGTATATAACTTAGCAGCGGCTCAAAAAGGATAACCATTTTCTTACATCCTTACAAGTTCATCACATACATTAAACGAGAGGATTATTTATGTTTACATTTCAGTCTTGGTTCTGCAATGAAGCCTTAAAAGCTGAATTTTTTAGATTCATTATAAGTAAACTCTTTGTTAGCACTGCTAAGTTATCAAAATACATATTTAAAAATCTTACGAACAAAACTTTAATCAAATGTGTGTGAAATACCACTTTGAGTTTATATGAATAGAATTAGTATATTTCTAGCTTTATTAATAAATTCATAGTTAATAGTTAAAAAAACGGCAACTAAATAAAATTAAAGCAACAGATTCTAAAAGAACTATTTAAATGTGGCAATGGCACTGTTTTCAATTTATGTATATGACTATTGTGGCCTATAAAAGTGACTTTAACCACCTTATAAAACGGAACAAACAATGTTGATTACTCCTGGGTCGAATTCTTTTAAAAACAACTCTCTAAATAGAAAACAAACAGGATGAACTTTAAACTACTTGAGAAATGCATTTTTAAAACGATTCTACAACATAAATATATTGCATAAAATTTCATATATATTATAAAATTCATTCCAAAGGACTAAAAAGTAAAATAAAATAATAAAAAACATGTGATTTTAGTATAAAATTGTTATTCG